TAAAAGCCGCTTCAAATACAACTTCAAGGCCCAGTAAGAATATCCACACAGAAAATCTTTCTATCCTCCCTCTCTCTAATATTTCTCTCTTCTTTCAGTTATATGTTTTTGTCCGGAAACGTCACTTAAAAGATGCCCTGGTGGGACGCTGCCTGGTATACCTAGTGACAGCGGGTTACCACTCAATCTTAACTACCACTCAATCTTTAAAACTCTTTTTAAAAGGTTCTCAATTAAATTCTCTACAAACTGTAAAGTTTTACAAAGTGAAAAATGTTTGAGTGGTGAAAGAAGAAGTGATTACGCCTAAAAGCGCCAACTTTCCAAGTGAAAAACAGTAGTTTCAACTTTCACGGTATTATAAGTTTCTAGAAAAGCGCTATTGCGGAACCACGTTTTTGTTACTTCATCAAAAATTCCACTTAACTTGGTCAAAAGTCCTCATTTTTTGATAATTTTTATCAAGTTTTTGAAGCCTACAGTCCCACCTATCGTAGAACCGTGCCTTTCTCGATAAAAAATAGTCCAAGAAAACTTTTCTTGATTCAGCAACATCTGCACGTTCGTGACCTTCAAAATATGGTCGCTGAGAATTTGCCAAAAATTTTGCACCCCAATTTAGGAGGTCGATGCGACAGCTACTTTCTGATAGAATTAATCCAGCATCTGGATCTTTGGTCTGTCCTGTCAGTTCGTAGAATTTTGAATCGATAAATTGAGCAAGGTCTGTTGCGTTAAAGGCAGCTGACTTTTGTTGACATTTTTGGGTACCAAAGGCCTTTGCATCCATTTCTATTTCGGAAAAGTATTCGTAAACAATACTAACATGTTTTCTACCATGGTTTTCCGCTGTAAAGTCTTCTAATGTACCATGAATAAACATTTCTAACCATTTTTGACAAATCACTGCACGATAACATCTGGTATTTCGTAGAAAGACATGAAGTCGACATGAAGGTCTACGAGACTTTCTTAGGCCTTGAATTTTTTGACATTTTCAAGAACTTCATGTGTTCTCGCAAAAACTCCTTGTTTCACCACCAGAGCACCGTGTTTTCTCGTGAACAAGTCGATCTAGCTCAACTACCACTTCAAGTTTCCTCGTAAAGGAATAGATCTTTCTCCACAAGAACTCTCCGTCGACGAAGTAGGTGGTTCCTCTACAGAAGTTCATGCGTTCTCCAGAAGAACTTGATGTGTTCTAGTGAAAAAATCGATGTTTCCCCACAAGCACCCCATGTTTTGTCCTGAAGAAACCGATATTTCTCCACAGGAACTTTACGTTCTCTCATGAAAAAAATCGATGTTTCTCCACAAGAAACTCATGCTTTGTCGTGTAGAAATCGGTGCAACTGCAGAAGAACTTGATCTGTCCACTTGGAGAAATCAATGTAAGTCCAGAGGAACTTGATGTGTTCTCGTGAAGAAATCGATGTTTCTCCATAAGACCCCGAGGCCTTCTGGAAAAGAAATCGATGTACCTCCACAAGAACTTCATGCGTTCTGGTGAAGATATCATGTTTCTCCACAGAAACGTCGTGTTTTCCGTGAACTAATCGATGTAACTCCACAAAAACTTCATGTTTTCTCCTGATGAAATCAATGGAAGTCCAGAAGAACTTGAAGTTTTCTCGTGAAGAAATCCATGATTCTCCACGAGAACTTCATGTTTCCCCGTGAAGAAATCGATCTACGTGCACAAATAACGTCATGTGTTCTCCTGAAGCAATCGATGTAATTACACGAGAACTTCATCCAGTCACGTGAAGAAACCGATTTATCTCCATATGAACTTCATGTGTTCTCATGAAGAAATCCATGTTTCTCCATGAGAAACTGATGTTTTCTCCTGAACAAATCGGTGTTTCTCCACAAGAACTTCATACTTTCTCTTAAACAAATCGATATGTTGCATCAGAACCTCATCCATTATCGTGAAGAAAGCGATGTAACTCGACCAGAACTTCTCTAGAGTAACTTCCGCTTTTTTCGTGCACAAGTCCGTGTGACTCCACAAGAGCTTCATGTTCTCTCGTGAAGAAATCCATGTTTCTCCACAAAAACTACATGCTTCCTTCAGCAAAATTCGATATTTCTCCACAAGAACGCCATGTTATCTCGCGCATAAATCGAAATTTCTCCATGAGAACTTCATGCCTTCTCCTGAAGAAAGCGATGTAACTGCACCAGAACTTCTCCAGAGAAATCCGTGTAACTCCACAAAAACTGTATGCTTTCTCGTGAAGATATCGATGTTTCTCTACAAGAATATTTGTTTTTCTTGAACTAATCGATGTGCCTCCACAAGAACTTGATGCGTCCTCGTGAAGAAATTCCTGTTTCTTCACTAGAAGTCGGTGGAATCCAGAAGAACTTCATGTAGTCTCGTGAAGAAATCGATTTATCTCCATGAGAAGCTCATGCATACTCGTGAAGAAAGCGATATAACTCCACAGAAACGTCATGCTTTCTCGTGAAGAAATGAACGCAAGTCCAGAAGAACTTGATGTGTTCTCGTGAAGAAAGCGACGTTTCTCCACACGAACCCCATCTTTTCTCATGAAAAAATGGATTTAGCTGCACAAGAATTTGAACTGTGTTCGTGAAGAAGTCGATGTTGCTCCAGAAGAACTTCATGCTTTGTCTTGAAGATATCGATGTTCCTCCACAGGTGTTTGTTCGTGAAGTAATCGATCTACCTCCACAAAAACTTTGTTTTTCTAGTGAAGAAATCAATGCAAGTCCAGAAGAACTTCATGTTTTCTCGCGAAAAAATCTATTTAGCTCCACAAGAATTTTAAGTGTTCTCGTGAGGAAATCGATGTTTCTCCAAAAGCAGCTTATGCTTTCTCCTAAAGAAATCTGTCCTTCTCCACGAGAACCTCCTGCCTGCGCGTGGAGAAATCGATGTTTCTCTCAAGTTGATGCTTTGTCTTGAACCAATCGATGTTTCTACAGAAGAACCTCATGTTTTCTCCAAAAGAAAGCGATGCAACCACACCAGAGCTTCAGACGTTGTCCTGAACCAATCAATCTTTCTCCACAAGCAGTTGATCCTTTCTCGCGAAGAAATCTATGTTTCTCCACAAGAAGTTCATGTGTTTCCATGAAAAATTCGATGTTTCGCCAGAGAAATTTCATGCTTTATCCTGAACTTCGCGAGAAATCCGTGCTTCTCAACCCGGACATTACGTTTTCGGGTGCAGAAATGCATGCAAGTCTAGAAGAACTTTATGTTTACTTCAGGAGAAGTCCGAGTTTCTCCGCCACAACTTGATTTCTGGTGAAGAAATCGATGTTTCTCCACAAGAACTTCATGTTTTGTCGTGAAGAAATGGATCTTTCTTCACAAGTACATTATGTTTACTCCAGGAGAAATCCGTGCTTCAGCATCAGAACTTCATGTAAGCGAACGACATCTGACCGTCCGTTAAATCATGTTCTCGTCAACAAATCAATATATCGGGGAGCAATGACGGAGGTGGAAAGAGAGGAAAGTGTAAAGTTGAAAGAAACTATTGAAAGCTCATGGAACAAAGTATTTCGTCTAGAAATGCGAGAAATAACTCCTCGGAAAACAAGAAATGAATATGAATCGTCGGATGATGTGACATCTTCGATACAAAATATATTGGGGAGTAACGACCTGCCTAATACTCATGAAGAGAAACCCTTCATGCGAAACTACATCGTCCAAGAGTATCTTGTTTTGGATGGAGTAAGGTTGGTTACATACAGTCGAGATGTTCTGCGATTTGCTCATTTTACAATGGACGAAAACACTCCGAGGAATTTTGTAAGAAAATTAAAAAGGTACCTGAACCATCTTTAACAGACTCTTCGTGCGATCCGATGGTGGATGAATTGAAACGTATAGCTCATACGGATGACTCGTCTCACGTTAGTGAGCATCCTTCACATACTAACACAGACTCTAACTATTCATCTAATCAAAATTTAACCCGACCGACTACCTCTTTACAAGCACAGTTACCTGCTTCTCGACGTTTCACTCGCCGTCATATGTGGCGTAATACAAATAAATACGATAGGAGTAGGAGTAGGAGTAATGACAATAGAAAGTTTCATATTCAAAAGAATTACAGCGTGACATTTGATAGTGATACGGCTCCTAATAGGAGTCGATCTACTACTAATTGACATGATTCACGTACAATTTCGGATGACCTATTTAGAATTTCAGACCATGTATTTAAGATTGGACATATTAACTGAAGTGAGCATGAGCTTAACTTATTGGAATATGGTCTAAAGTTTATTCCTTCGCATCCGTTGAGGACTCGTAAGGGGCTGGAGGATGATATTAAGAAAACAGCTGACAAACATCCAAAACTGGACTTGAACAAAATATTGATTCGGGACGCTACTATTCAATCAAGTAAAGCATTCAATTCCAACATGAGTTGGGATCAATATAAAGCTCTTATGTACCTGTCGAAACGTAAGGATATTGTGGTTAAGCAAGCCAACAAAGGTCAAGGCATAGTAGTTATGTCTAAGGAAGTTTATGAGAAAAAAGCGTTTGATTTACTAAGTGATACACGTAACTATACCAGAGTTGATAGGAACCCATTATGGACAACATATACGAAGGTTCGAAACAAACTGAATGAGTTACTTAAGGATGGTAGCATACCAAAAACATTTACATGTAAAGTTCGCCATAGAGGACTACCGAAACTTCCTAACTTCTACATTTTACCGAAAGTTCATAAGAGAAATTGTCCGGGTAGACCTATCGTCTCTGGAATAGGGCATTGCACTAAAAAAGCATCTCAATTTCTATGCGAAATTTTGCAACCCTCTGTCACTTGTTCATCACGGATTGCTAAAGACAAGTACTCGTGTGCCTTTTATAAGGTAATATGTAGTACTCAAGAATTTATTAATGAAATCGACTCGATAAATAATGCGATAAAAAACGAAAAACTGGATTTAAGGAGAATTTGGCTAGCTACGACTGATATTGAATCGCTGTACACTAATATTCCGATTGAGGGAGGAGCTCGAAGAGTTTCAGCATTTATATTTTCGAATAAAGAATTTGCGGATATCCCGCTTTCAAGACGTGGTCTTGTCCAGTTACTCAAACTGGTTTTGGGTAATAATGTTTTCCACTTCGGGGGACAATATTTTTCCCAAAGGTTTGGCACCGCTATGGGTACACCATGTGCACCCCCGTATGCAAACCTCTTTGTTGTATTAAATGAACTAGAATTTTTTAAGAAACTTGACAAGCTACCACTGAAGTTTTTACGTTATCTCGACGATGTTTTCATGCTTTGGTATGGTGAGAAAAAAGGTTTTGAATACTTTTTACAAAAACTGAATGAGATAAATCAAAACTTGAAATACAAAATTGAAAATCTTTCAGATAATAAGATAAATTTTTTGGACGTTTACTTATATAAAGATTTTGTGGGTAATCGGTTCGTTACTAAATTATTTAATAAACCTACGGACACATTCCAATATGTACGAGCCGAATCAGGTCACCCAGATTTCATTTTAAAGAATTTAGCAACAACCCTAGCCCACACGGTCAAACGAATCTGCAATGACGAAAGTGAAAAATGGCACGAATATGCCAACATTATTTTACGTCTAGGCAAACGGGGTCATCCTATTAAAAACGTTTTAGATAAAATCCGGGAAGTAGAAAACTTAAGTAGGATCGAACTACTAAAACTGAAAAAGATCGACGTCAACAAAGATAGGACAAAAACTGATATTCCAAAAATAATCTCGATGACATATAATAAACAACTCGGCCCAATTCAACATATATTTCGACAATATTCATATCCGAAAACGGATTGGTCAAAATATATGTGGACATATAAGCGTCCCCCTAACCTTGGCCGTCGCCTGACTCACTCTAACCACTTGGGTGATTTGAGATCAATCATTCCGATCCCAGCAAGAAATCTAAAGGGCTTTAAGAAATGTACTAGGAAAATTTGCCGTTTTTG